TATAAAACATAATTTAAGTTATTTGTAAAATCGTTTGCCCCCAAAAATGAAAATTATGCATTTATTATCTATAGAAATATTTTCTTTTTACATTTTTTTGTATTCAGCGAAATGCGAGATATACAAGTAACGTAATATTTAAATACTTACAATAGTATTTAAATGTACTTACAATATTCACAATTCAGGGAAAGGGCGAGGAATGCACGCAATATTCGTTATAGCCTGTATGTATGTCGCAGCTTTTTTGTAAAAACCATTTTCTCTCTGTTTCTTATATCACAAATAGTGGATATGAATGATAAAAGTATAATGATATTATAAATATAATTATCGATAGTGTTATGCTAAGAATACTACAAAAAATATAAAGAAAAATATCAAGACTGCAAATATCTTTATCATTAGCCATCTATTACTTGTCACAGACTGAAAGTATTTCAGTATTTCGGTGTGTGCAGCTTCCACATTTAGTTCGGTATCTTCTATATTACTATCTATCCTGAAAATCAATTATATTTAAAAATTAACAATTTATACTTGCGAAATATTTTGATAAATTAAAATGCTTTTTTGTTTTTAAGACAACTGCTTTTATTTCTTTTAGATTTATTACATCATTTTCTCTTACCTTTCAACCATTTCTTCTTGTTCTTTAACCATATGCGCCAATTGTTGGAAAATACCCCCTAACTCAACTATAGTAGATTCTATATTTTGCATAGTTTCGGCTCTCGATTGCACGTACGCATCCTTGAAAAAATAAATATATACATATATGTATTCCTATTATATTTAATTATTTCACACTCTTGCCACTATTACTTACAGTATCATCTTGTATAATTGTTTGTTGTAACTGCTGATTCATCACAGGTTCAAGATCTATCGCAACTGAATTACTTGAAATTTCTTCTTGTAGTAACAAGGAACCTTGTTTCCCAGAAACAACACTCGGAGGGAGCATAGTGGACAGAGATCCTTGAGTGAACTGCTGTCTCCTGCTTTGTTCCTCTCTCATATTCTGCATCAAATAATTTATTTCTTAATGTTTTAATGTTTTATTATTTAATTATTATTTCTTACTTTTTCATAACATTTGTAAGCCTATATTCTTTTTGGAAATATAAATTAAATTTATTGTTATTCATAATATTGCCAACAAAAAAAGATATTAAAGAAAATATGTAATTTGTATTATAGAATATACATGCTATTTTTACCAAAGTACAGAAATTAATTGATCCCAAACTGAAATATTCTATGACGAAATATTCTAATCAACTTTGATATAAGAAAAAAAATGTTTATTTTGAATTATATACCTCAGAACGAACTTCCAAGACACTTTTGAAATGATTAGACATATTAGCTAGCTTTGATTGCAATGTCATCACAATTGAGGAAGAATGAGAAGCAATGTGATGACTCTGAGAAGAACCAAAGCTTTCTCTCTGTGACTTTCCAAGCTCTTGTAGTTTTCCGATTTGAAGATTTAAGCTTTTTAGATCCGTTTTTATAATATTTGTAAGCTCTTCGATCTCCATTTGTCTGTCATTAAATATGGATTTTTTCTTAGCCACTATAACATAAAATATTAGTTATTACAGAACATTAAAAAATGTTTTTATGTAACTTTGCTTTTCGATATGTTTCAATTATATTTATTCTGTTATATGTGCCATACAATCTTATAAAGTAGCAATAAAAGTTGACGATAACTGTCAATGATAATCTTAACGTTTCTAACAAAAACTTTTCTATACTTTTGACAGTTTAAGGATCTGTTGTATATTAACTTTCATACAAATCTACATATAAATCTCAAAAAATAAACAATTTCTTTTGCACAACAAAGGTACAATTCTATTGTTTGTAATGTTCTACTTGAATGCAATTGTAACATATTGTAATCATCTAAGCTATGCTCAGCTGATCTCTTACACAAAGCAAGTTTCTCCAGTTTGATATATGTGCCAGCAATGTTCCTGCTAATGTTCTTAGCTATCATCATAAAGTTCGAGTAGCTCTGTATCTGGCGTGCGCGACGCGGATTTTGCAGATTCACTGCGGTCCGCGCCACGGTCCTGCTCTGCATAGAGCGAATCGCGTTAGCGAACTCATTGGTCCTGTCGCGGGATGTCATCGTCGTCGTCGTCGTCGTCGTCGTCGTCGTCGTCGTCGTCGTCGTCGTCGTCGTCGGCTGTTGCTCACTTGGGTCCAAGTCGACAGTCTCCTCGCTCAATAATCTGCTGCTTGCTTCGTCTCCATCGTAATAGTGCCGCGAGCCGCCCGAGCTCGCAAGGTCGCGATTCACCACGGGCCCTACAACATGACGTCTGCGTGCTGACATCGCAGCATCCTCTCAGCTTTTTCCACGTGCGCGCGTGTCCCGAGGGCTTCGACCACCACCGAGTCCGATAACGTCAACAGATTGCAGCGGTGGCGGCAACGGTGGCGACGACGGCAGCGGACACGTCCGCATGACATCCACACATGACAGTCTCCGCTGACAAGCTGTTCACATACGCAATACGCATGCGTACGCGCATATATGTGCGAATACGCGCGCGTCTACAATTGGGTCATAGAAGTACTGTGAATTGTCACGTGCGGCAAGTTTAAGGGGCTCTTCACAACAAAAGAAACAGGGAATAGAGAATAAGGATTTTAACTTATCAGAAATCATGTATTGTAGAATACACAGTTTCTGATAGGTTGAAATTCTTATTCTCTGTTCTCTGTTCCCTGTTTCTTTTATTGTGTGGAGTCCCTAAAGCCGCGTGGCATATGGCGCGCCATTTTTCTCATGGATGGAAGTACGCGCGACTTTTGAACGGAGGAGCTTATTCGCAGTGGACTAGAATTGATTCTAACCGGCCAAAAGTCGAAAAAAAAATGAATTGTTTCATCTTTTGTTGCATATGATTAAATTAGCTTTTAATAAAAATATGTAGTACAAACATTATTTTTTTAAAATCTTCGAAAATATTTGAAATAACTATGGAATTAAAATTCCGCTACGTTACGTAATATAGCAAATAGTTCTTATAAATATGCTTAAAATAAAATTTAGTTTCTATTATATTAGTAGCTAATTTAATCGTATACAACAAAAAAATACAACAATTCATTTTTTCGACTTTTGGTCAAAGATTAGAATCGATTTTGTCCCATTTTATGTTGTTTTATTGATTCTTTACATATCTAATAAAAATTCAGCAAGTTCTATTAATATTTATAAGAAGAAAAAAAAATAACATCAAGAGAAAATTATTTAAAATTTAAATAAAATTTAATATCAAATTCCAGCTTCAGCTTTGGGATAAAAATTACATTTAAAAGATCAAATAGTAATCATTGCGTGATTTAAAAATAAAAAGGTGAAATACATGAAATTCTTGAAAGTTATTACTAGTATTATAAGCATAAAGTACTGTTCGATGATAGAAAATATCAATATCTTTTGTTCTATATTATATCGCTATTTACTCATTAAAAAAACAAGAAATTTTCATTAGGTTATTTAAAAAATAGACGATATTATATAATATAGGAGCAAAAAAACATTTTTCCCAAATTGTTACGATGTAACATTGGCATTACGATATAACATTCAAGCCGGAAAAAGCTGCTAGTCTGTTCACCGATTGAATATGATTATGATTGATTGAATCTATAAGTACTAATCAATCATGTTTATTTGTTTCGCGAGCAGACTAACCGTTTTGTCAATTTGAATGTGTCTATTATCATGCGCGGGCAATTGATTGAAAAAGTTAAAAGGGAAGCACAGACTCTTACATAACGCATAAAACATGAAACATAAAAAAATCAACCAATCAGAGTCCTTTATTTCATGAAAAGAAAAGAAATAAAGCACTTTGATTAGTTTATTTTTTTATGCTTCATGTATTATGTATTATGCAAGAGTGCTCCCCGCTTAATAGACTTTCTACAATAAATAATTATCTAAGCTTTAAGTCTTAAGCCATAAAAAATTGACCAATAGCAGTTGAATATAAGAAGAATAATTGACTATGATTGGTCGATTTCTTATGGCTTAAGATTTAAAGTTTATAAGTAATGATTTGTTATAGAAAATCCATAATAGTCGCAGCACAGACTCTTGTCTAACATAATGCAGAGTGCATAAGAGAATCAAAATTCTTCTTTTCCGTGAAATGAGAGAAAAGGAAAGAATTTGATTGGTTGATTCGTTTATGCACTATGCGTTATGCGTTATGCAAGAGTCTGTGCTGCATAATCGTCACAGATATTTGATTTTCATCTGTTTCTCTCGATGGAAAACTTAAAAAACTTAAGAAAAAATTTGGAAAAATTTATTTGTACGGCAGCATTTATGTGAATTGCATTTATTGAAACATTTAATATATATATTTAAGCTAAACTTAAATCTAATTTGGACTTTTATTATGTGTTATCTTAAGACCTTAAATACCGGATATCAAAATTATTAGGATGAAATAATTAAATCGTAAATTTATGTAAATTACATTACATACCCAGTGAGAAATGACAATGGAATCGATGTTGAATCGACGTTGAATTAGACGATTTTGACTTCGAATCGATATTGATTTGATGTCGATTCCATTGTCATTTCTGACTGGGATATAGTCGTGTTGTGTCAGAACATACTATTATGGAATTTACTACTATTTTATTGTATCAACTTTTTTCTAATCAGCTTACAGCACGACTTACAATCCGTAAGAAATACATCTGTATGTCTATATGTATTACAGTACGACTTACAATCTATAAGAAATACATCTGTATGTATGCATGTGTGTATGGATATGTGTAAAGATAACACTACAGGAACGAACATTTTTCTTTCTATAAAATTATTTAAAAAATCGCAATATTCCACGGTAAACATTTCAATTTTTTCTTCGTAAAAATAATGTATGAATATTTACCTGCGTGGATATTTGATCATATAATTGTATGTGCCTTGAAAAATTGATGTTTTTCGGCATTGAAGATACCAATGGCTGCGTTAAACGGAAAAGAGCAACTTTGCAACTGTTGTAAAATTCTTTAATATGATTGGTTTGCTTTTAGTTCCTTACTGGATTTAAATATATCTACCTTTAAACTAATCATATTAAAGAATCTTATAACAGTTGCAAAGTTTTTGCTGCTTGAGCCATTGTTAAGGAAACTGGAAGAGCTGGAATAGCTGGATATATGCACAGGAAATTACAGATTTATTAAATATCAACTTTGTGTAATCTTTTACAGGATAAAAGCCTCTACGTCCGTTCTATAAATATATACATATAAAATATGTTAATGTGATACATTAATAATTTACTTCATATTCGTATTTGATCATGTAAAACGTGACCAACGTTGGATCAACTGGAGTAAATATTCCACTTGGCGGACGATGAAGTGGTATAATTAGTTATTACAAAATGGCCTTGCATATATGTATATGTATATATACATATATATATATATATATATACA